AGTTCGAACTTCCACTAAAAAGATTTAGAACGCATGCAAGCCTGGGATGTTCAGAGACAGAATCAAGGTCTGGCCGCAGCTAAGAACAAGAAAGTCGACCCTCGAAAGAGACAAGCGCCCTCTCTAGAGGAGCCGGATAGGAAACGCCTGCAGGTCTCTTCGTGGCAATCACTACAGGCGCCATCGACATCTGATGCGTTTGTCCTCATGGGCATCTTAGAGCTCCCGAAATTAGACTCGAGCGGCTTACATCCTAGGTTCGTTCAACATATTAAAGAAAATTTGCCTGATATACAGAAGCTAGACAACCGAGATTTCAATAGTAAGGCTACCTTGATCTGGACCGGCACTAGTGTGGTACAATTTCTGACTTCTTTGTCGCTTTAGCTTTGCCACATGGTATCGTTGACTTGCAACATGAATTTTCCGATTTCAAGCGTAAGAAAGCGCAGGCTTGGGCGCAATCAAGACGTGTGCCAGAACCCGGAAGCTCTCTGCTTCATCCATCGGGAAGCCTGGAAGCTACAATTGCCCACCGACTCCATCAGCCTTCTTTCACAACTAGCTTATGTACTGGGACAGGGATGGCCGACAAGAGTAATGGATGTATCGCGATGGTTATGGGGAATGCATATCGCGAGAATGAGACCTTAATCTACGATCATTTGCATCGACGGTCTAAGAAATCAGAAGGTCTCGAGAACTACCCAGAAAACGTGGTGGAATGCCACGAACAGTTTACCCAGAAGATTTTGGAGTCTTCACATGCGAAGGTCGAAGTGGTCTATGGGAGGCAAGTGCAAGCTCGTGTCCTGCATTCAGGGCTGAAAATTACGGCAATTCCTCTCTGGGGTAGCTTCGCGAACATTGTTCTCTATTTTGTACACAAAGACAACTTTGAAAACAAGCAGCCAGGTCACCGCTTCCGGAAAGTTTTGTTATTCGCCACTCATCCTCAACGAATGTTTTACGAACGCAAAGGTGGCGAAATTGCCATTCGACAAGATCGAATTCCTGAAGCAGCCGTGCGGATCGCCGATGCAACAATCACCTTTCAAGCTGACTATTACCAAGCCAAGCGATGGCGAGAATATGTTCCACCTGTCAACCAACTCGCGCTATATCGAGCCGCAAGACTTTATGAGTCTTTCCCCTTCGAAGATCTCCCCGAGGTTCGCCAAGAACCGCAAGGAGTGGAAGCGGCACCAAAACAAAGACACAGCGGTAGATGGGATGAGATCTTCAGCCCAGAGCCACACAGCAATGAAGCGATTCGGAAAATGCTTGGCGAGGCGATCAGAGCAACTGAAGCTCTTGACCAAGGACAGCCCACAAAGTGGCAGGACCCTGCTCAGCTTCCTCCTGCTGTATTGACTTGGCTCAAAGGCCAGAAACAAGTCCTTTTCTACGATAGACCAATCAACGACGAAATCGATATTGCAATCACCCTTGATAAATGTAAGACGTCTCTTTCACGGTCCGAACGCTGAGAAATTGAGCGCCGCTTTCCAGGTCAAGGTCTGCGGACGATGCTGGGGCAGTTGATGCCGATGCAAAAAAAGCATCTTGAGTCATTGGATTGCGCCCATCTAGACTACTTTCACAACCGATTTGATGCAGTACCGGTCCAGACTGTACGTAATTGTGGGGAATTGAAGAGTCAGGACGGTAGGCCAAGATTTTCTTGTATGAGGGTGGGATCGTATGTTTGCAGGTTATCAAAACGCTGTAAATCAGCGGAATGCAGAGGCCGTTTGCAGTCAATGAGACCAACGTCAAAAAGCCAAACATGGATTCACTAATCCAATGTCATGTCCAGTAGAGGGCGAATATATAGGGACTGCAGCATAGTCTTACAATCGCCGCCCAACGGACTCCCTACGATCGTAAAATTATGGTGTGTATGGTGCAGGGAGAAGACACAAGTTGAAGGCAATTACGGCTTCTATGAGGATAAGAAGGCGGAATGGACACTCGGCGAAACCCGCCCGCTTTATGTGGAACGACGACCGCGGTGCATTCGCTGTTTTGGATGCGGGCGTGAGGGTAGGCTTGTTCCAATAGACCCAGAGATTGCCTCTATTAGCAGGAACCGTCTTAAGGATTTCGCGCGCCAATTCGGTTATTTCGGCCAGGCCGTGAAAGGCTTCATTCTCGACGGGCGGATGCCATCATCGAGAGAACCAAGAAGTCAAGTGTACGAGCCTACCAAGGATGAAGATTGAGATGTTATTAGCGTATCCCTTAACCCGCCAAATTTCGTCCACATGTTATCGATAAGGATTTACCAATCAAATCAATGCATTGAAATCGTCGTGCTCAGGAATATACAGCTAGTAATATTTGCCAAATCTTATATAAATAGATCTATATAGCTTATTCTTTGGAGTTAAGTCGCTCAATATAAGGTAGCCAACACGTGTCCTCTCTGCAGAACGGTATTTAGCATACACTACAACCATATCTAGTCCTTGGCGTCCGCTAAGGCCTTTTCCAATCCTTACTATCGCGACGCCTTTTAGTTGTATTTGTAGAGAGCTCCGAAAGAGGCTTACGGCGTCCCTTAATTACTTTCTAAGACTTCCTGCCAACCTCTATACATGCAGAATAGTTAACAGGCTTAGCCCAGAGCTTCTTCAGTATATGGCGGTGTATAGGATACCACAGTATATCGTCGGTAGAGCGTCGCAGAGGTGCATCTTAGGTATAGGTCTTTCGCTTACAAATTAAGCGCTTAAACAAGGCGTCGCGGAGGTCCCTCCTAAACTTCTTATAGCCATCATTTCGACCAGCTCGTCGATTAGTAGGACGGTAGGAGGACAGTAGGTAGGAGTTACTAAGGACTGTATCTAGTAAGAAGTAAAATAGAGGCTTCCACGTCTTTCTATGCGTCCTCTAAGTGTTAAAATATGACCGCAGCTAATTAGCAATATCCACGCCGCCTATATATAGATTGTAGTAGAATATAAAGGTAGGGATGCGTAGAGTCTTAACTACCTTATTGCTAAAGACTTTGCGAGTCATTCGGGCGCCAGTTTAAGTGAGGGGAAGACGTTTTCGGTCGGTTTTCTTTATTAATCGACCTGGCGATGTATAACATTATCAGTATATAAGGCTTAGGGTAAGGTGTATTACCTACCGTCGTTAATCGTACTCATAAAAAGCACAACATTAGTGTCCTTTTAGGCGAACTCCATAACATTTCCGTCTTCAGAAGTCGCTGCATATAGTATACCCCATTCTATTTAAGCTGCGTAAGTTAATTTAAGCTTAGCAAGTCTCTTGTTAATTTGCTCTATAGGAACCTTAACCTTTCTCCCTATTGGTTTTTTTAAAATATCGGCCTCCCCCCCTTCCTTCTTCTTGCGCTCTATTCTAGTTGTATAAACGGTTCCTACGCATCTAATTTTAAGCTTTTAAAGTTATACAAGAAGCTTAATACTTATAAACAGATTATTAAGCTAAATAACGTGCTTTCCTGGAGGATAAAGTAGCTTATCTAACTCTACATCGCGCTAAGTGAGAAGATTAAGAACTACTGCCTACGTCTTTAAAAAGCCTTCCTCAGTAAATGTCTCATCTAGGTCAACTAGGCCTCCCTTATCGCCTCTTGCGTGCTATAGCTAATTAAGTATATAACCCTCATTCGCTAGGACCCATATTTTAAAGCCTTCGGGTATTGGTTTAGTAGGAATATTAATAGTTTTAGGGGCGCGACCTATAAAGCGTTTAATCATTTCGTTAACCGCAAGGTGGGCGTTAGGGCAGTAGAGCTTCCTATAGGTAAGCCGAATGTATTTAGCAAGCTTCTTAACTCTATCAAATGTAGACCATAGTGTAGGATTGTCGTCTAGCCATAGTTCTATGCACTAAAAGTAACGATTAAGCTATTTAAATTGTACCCGGCCCATATACTTTTTAACGATATATTCCAAACTAGTGGTATCTAAAGAGCCCCAGTAATCCTTAATGGACGATTTATATATAAGGCCTATATAAATAAGCACTGCAAAATACCCCCAGAGTTCTTTCTTGTATATTGGCTGCCATTATTATGCCTGCACATTTTCTTCATCCGATGGGTATAGCTCTACATACCTATTTGTCTACTCTACCAGCTCATCTATAATATTGCCCGTAAAGAACTAAGTAAATAGAGCAAAGGGGTCTTATAGATTAAGCCCGGTGGGTAAATTTGGCTTCCTATAGTCGTTGAAATCGTTAATATGGAGAGCTTCGAAATCGGGCAACGGCCAAGGCTTCGGGGGAGGCTTTTTTAAGACACGATTTGGTTGAACGTTATATTGAGTCGGCTGAACAAGGTCTATATCATTGGAAGTACGATTAGAAGGCATAGTTAATGGTTTGTATTGATCAAATCTATACGGCCTATACGCGTTGTTTTGATCCTGATGTTCCCGCACGGACCACTTGCTTTGTGGACGTTGGCGGGTTAAGGGATATATGTTAGGTCCATGTCGTGAAGCACAGATCTCGAAGTGGGACTTTGGAACCAGAGGGCTCGGCGAAGGACTGTCGAGAGCGTACTTGAGGGCTGTACTATGCAAATCTTAGGTGATATATTTAAATTTCCCTATAATAGTAATGTCGTCTAATGATTTTTGTGTGGCTAGAACCAAGCCATCGCTTATCCGTCGGCGTTTGCTCAGTGGCTTGCTGCCTCAATGAAGCTGTTGTTGAGACTTAAACCCTATGAGTTTGAGCGTCAACGTATCCAGAGACAGTTTGTAGGTTTGGTTAGATTAGAACAAAAATTTGCTGCGTTAGCTTTGTGTATTGAGAGTTTATCTGAGCTCGCGGCGGAGAGGAACAAGACGCACAGGCACCATAACGTCATGGAGCTCGGAACTCGCCGGTGCCATCGAAGCGAGCTCCGACACCCCACAATCTGCCGCATGGTCTATTTGATTCTACATGTCACCTGCAATATTTTTAGTAAAGTTATATATTAAGTAAGATATACTTGTCTTTAACAAAGAGGCGTGATGACGGAGTGGTTATCGTGCAAGTTGGTGTTTGCTGCTCCTTTGTAAACTGAATGCGAACTAATGAACGAAAGGCCTGCTAAGCTTGTTCCTTCGGGAGCGCAAGTTCGAATCTTGCTCACGTCGAGTCTTTTTTTTTTATATATTAAATAATTTTTTCCCTTATAATAGTAGAAGCTAAGAATGTAATTTTTACTATAACTCTTATTTTTATTTCTTAATTTAATACTCTAATAGAGTATAGAAGAGGTTCTATATATTAGTAATAGTTAATTAAAGTACTAGCGCTAGTATTATAACGCGCGTAAGCTTATATAAAGTTCTATAAATAAGAATCTAATACTAAAGAAAAGGAAAAGAAGAAGAGTAGTCGTTTAAAGTAGGGTCCTTTTATACGGTCCTTTAATTACGTAACTATATCTCTCTATTAAGTTTTACTAAGTTCTACCAAATTCTACCAGTACTGTAATATTACCCCCCCTCCCTTTTTAAAAAAAAGGCTATCCTTAGGCTTTATTATATATAAAGTAAAAAGGGTAGCTATAATATTCGCAATTTCTACTAGATTTTACTAGGTTTTTATAGTTTTTATATTTTTTATTAGTGTTATAGCACCGTAACGGATCTGGTTAGGGGGCTCGCTTAAGCCTTAGTATATATATATAGACGTATCCTTTTCCACCTTCTACTCCTTATCTTAATATCCGGGTCTATAAACTACTAATTATATAGGCTTGCATACGTTCTTTATGGCGCTCGTGCCTTGATTAACTAAGTCGCTGTAATAATTAGGGCCTTAGGGCGGGTTTATCCCTATACTTTTCTAGTAGCTTATTATCTTTATTATACTAGCATTCTATCTATTTATTTAGGCATTTTAGGGGTTTAGGTAAACTAGGATATTAATCATAAAACTCTTTAAGCTTTTAGGGATAGCCTATAAAATTCTAGATAGGTACTAGGTTAAGTTTAGATTATAGCTATAAGGTAAGAATATAGATAGGGAGTCCAATAATAGAATAATAGGTATATTATATAGATAGAGACAAATCCTTAAGGGAAAAGGAGGAGTCTGTGTATAAGGTAGGAAGGGTTTTCCCTAGGTATATATAGATATATACCTTACGGGCGAGTTACCCCTAGGTTGCCCTAGGGTCGCCTATACTTTATAGCTATATAACTATCTACTTAGGTTTTACCTAATAATGCCCCCCTTTTTAAAAAGGGTCGTCTCTAATCCTTTATATACTTAAGCCTTAATAAAACCCTATAAAAAACCTTAGTAAGAAAAAAATTTAGAGGGGAAAGAGCGTCTTAATTTTGCGTATAGAGAGATGGGTATATAGGCGCGGCGTGAGGATGTTAAGGAACTTTGACTAGCGGTTAAAGTTATCTAATTAGTTAGATTTGCCTTGCTAAGACTCCCACGTATTTAACTAACCTAGTAGTAATTTTATATACCTAGTATAGAAAATCCTAATTAGTCTATTTAATAGGTAAAGCTAGTAGAGCTTAATACTATTACTTAACTTTAGTAGACTAGAAATATTCTAAAGCTTTCTTATATAGGTAGGTCGCTAGTACCTCGCGGGTAAGTTATAGGTTATTTATATATATAGCTAGATTTATAAACGGTAAGGCTATATATCTATTAAATCCGCTGCTAACCCTACTTTAGCCTTACGCTATACTAGTATAGCGCCGTATATACTTTATGGGTAGGTTATAGGTTATTTATATATAGCTAGATTAGGATAGTAAGGCTATATACCTATTAAACCCGCCGCTAACCTATATTTTAGCCTTATACGTTATCTGCGTAGTATATATATAGAATAGTATATAAGTTATCGGTATAGGTTACTACTAGTAGGTTACTAGTAGGTTATAGACTCTGGTTAAATAGACTCTAGTTATAGATAGGCCTATTCTCTAATATATAAATAATCTGCTTAGCTAGTATAGAGTAACGGACTAGGTCTAGGAAGGGTGCTTTTTAAATTAAGGCTGCAGTTCTTATAGTAATTATTACTTATTCTTTAATCCCTTAGAACGTCTTCTGCCTTGCTTTAATATAGGTTATATTTTAATAGCAGTGCTTACTTTTCGCCTACGCTTCGGCTATAAGGCTAGGGTATTCCGCTTACGGTACTTATTTAGCAGTTATTAACAATTCTTAAGTTCTGTCTCATATTTCTATTTATTATACTTATTTAACTATCCTAGCTATTTAATGAGTTACTATAGTTGTCTAGTACGATTCTAGTAGGCGATAATTGCTTCTACTTCCTAGCTGCCTTCCTTAAGCTCTTTTACTGCTAGGGGTTAAAACCTAGGGCGTGACCTATAAGGCTCTAGTAGGGAGATATAAAAGACTGGGTAGAGCTATACTATAGTAGGTAGAAGCTCTAGCTTATATATTTACTACCCTATACGCTTTAGGATCTAAAATAGTCCTATAAACTTATAGTTAAGCTTTTTATAGGGATGTTTTGTGTGGATGTTCTTAGAGGGGAGTAGGACTTGTTTACTAACGACGAAGTGCTTAGCTAGGTAGTAATGATTATAGTATTTTACCTAAAGCTTTTAGGCGTATATTATTAACGCCGCTGCTACCTTATATATAAGGCGCAGGCGTTATAGGTACGTCTCTACGAGTTAGATATTTGTTTAACTTAGATCCCTCCCTACCTTACTAGGCGTCTTAGACGCTATCTAGGACTCTATTTAGGATATTTAGTAGCTAGCTATAGGCGAGCTTAATAGGGGAATACTTTATTATAGTATAGACCTTAGAGTTATAGGTAAAGGCTGCTTCTTTAAGTAGGGAGGCCTAATTAGATTGTTCCTAGTTTGTAAATATATATAGGTATACCTTAAGCTTCTAGTTCTAACGCTCGGTCTAACTATCTATCTGTAGGTAGAATATAGTACTAAGTTTATATTAAACGCGGAGATAGTAGTATATAGTGCTCTAGTACTCGCTTATAAATATACTACCCCTATTAAAAATAATATTATTTAGAGGTCCTATTTATATAAAGACTCTAAATAAGAGTTCTGCGAGTATTAATTATCTTACGCACTAAATAGTAGTGTACTAGCTTTATAAAACGGTCTATAAGGATAAGGATAAAGTTATACTCTACGCTATTAAGAGTTTTAAACTCTGGGAGATCCGTAATAAAGTTAAGTAAATAATACCGCTAGGCTTAGGTAGGGGCTTAGAAAGGCTATAGCTTACTATAGGGTTTATAGCGGCGCGATTTAAAGCGTTAGTAGGCATTATAATTATCTAGGTATTTGCGGAGGTCCTAGGTAAGGCCGTTTTAAGTATACTTCTACACGATTACCTTAAAGGTATGGTTAAAACTTTAGTGGCTGCCTATAGGATTATTATAATTTCACTTAAGGATCTCCTGTTATAGTAGTATGCAATTTAGCACCTAAATCTTATTATTTTACCTTAAGAGTCCTTAATTATTAAGGGTATAGTCCTTATTACTAGCGGGAACTTATTTTTAGGTTAACTAATTATATATAAAGCGTATAAAGGCGTCCCTTTTTTATACTCTATAAATAAAATTAACTAGTGACTTAGGGGGGTGTTCTATAAACGCCGTTTTGGCTAAGGCAGCTATTACTACCTCTTGCTATAGCACGAGACTTTGTGTAAAGTTAGTGCTAATAAAGTAACGTGTAATATATAAGTAACTCGCTAGGTTATTATAGGGGACTATAGCCTAGGCTAAGGGGTCTTTCCTAAGGTTAAGCGCTATTAGGCTAGTTAAGGTAGTTTTAAAGAGAATAGTAGGACGCTCTGGTCCGCCGGCGTTAAGTTTATAAAGGTCGCTTATATACTATACGCATACTACTTACCAGTTTAGTATAGTAGCACTAGGGCCGCCTATAAGGCCTATAACCTATAACTTTTACTATAATATAGGCAGTATGGTATTAAGGATTATCCTTTTACTACTATCTTTAAAGTCTTTAGTATAATCCGGGTGCTAGGATAGTATATTAGCAGGATTTACTTTACCTAGCTTATATTTAATCTTAAAATTAAACTTAGNTAGTTCNTTNGNGTACNNGGCCTANTAAGTANATAAGCTNTTAGTGGTTATAAAGTACCTAAGATTGTTATAATTATAGAGCACGCGCGTTATATACGCGGCGTATTTAAGGTAATAGTGCCACATCTTAAAGCATTGCACTATAGCGAGTAGTTCTTTATTATACGTATTATACTATACTTTTAGGCCAGTAAGCTTCTAACTATAGTAGGAGATTAGGTACTAGTGGAGTTAATCTTTTTACCCTAGAGGCTGTAGAAGTATACCGCTATAGATATAGTTAAAAGCGTTAATAATTACTATTAAGGGTAAATTAGGGTCAAAGTGGCGAAGTAGAGGACCTATATAAATGTAGCGCGTAGCTTATAGAACGCCTACTACGCGTTATTAGGCTAGGACTAGGGTTAATACTATTTAGTAGGCCTTTTTAACTTACGCTTCTTCTTCTTCTCCCTATTTAATATTGGGTTATAATATGCCTATGCAAGATATATATGTAGGGGGTATACGGTATCTAAGTAGTTCTAGATAAATCGCCTATAAAAGTTAGCAAAGCTAAGGAAGACTTAGATATCTCTATAGGACTTAGGCTTAGGCTATTCCTTAATAGCTTTTACGCAGTTAGGGTCTATTATAATACCCCTAGGGATAATAATAAAGCCTAGGAACTTAATGTTCTTAATATAAAAAATATATTTTAATACTTTAGCGTATAGGCCTTAAGCGTAGAGCTATTATAGTACCTACTTAATATGCTCAATATACTTATCCTTATTATTTAAGTAGATAAGAATATTATCTAGATAAACTATATAGATAGTATCCACTAGGGTTCCTAGAGCTTTATAAATATAGCTCTAAAAAGTTATAGGGGCGTTAGTAAGACTAAAGGGTATTATTAGGTATTTAAAGTAACCATAACGTGTTTTAAATGCGGTCTTCTATTTATCTCCCTTTTTAATGCAAATTTTATAGTACGTATTATAAAGATCTAGCTTTATAAATATCTTTATATAGCTAAGCCTATTAAAGAGCTTGCCGACTAGTAGT